GTAAGTCCTTACACTACAAAAATGAATTTACAGATCTCTTCCGGTAAGATGGCGGAATAGGCAGACAAGCTCCACAGATCCTCTTCGATAAAGAAAAGAGAAACCAACTGACAGAGATACAGAAGATAATCCTGGAGCCCTGAGCTTTGAAAGAAGTATACAGATGTGGATTAGGCACCAACTAGTGGACAAACGTGAATGAAAACAGTGAGCATGGAGATGGTCGAAGCCGCAGACTGTCAGCTACTCTGATGGCACCAACAGCCTGAATATTTCCAAGTGGTGTTGAGGCATGAAAACCAACCTAAGGATCAGCCATAGTTGCCAAGGGCTGCAGGGACAACTGAGATGGTGGCCTATGACTAGGAAGGGAAACAGCAAGGAGGGAGACAACCTGAGCTGTGGACTTTCGGCTGTCCGGCGGTGCAGCCGTTTTGACTATTTGCAAGTGGTGGCCATTTTGGATATTTAAAGTGACCGAGGTCACAGCCATTTTGAAGGTTTACAAGCTGTGGCCATTTTGGATATTTAAAGTGACCGAGGGTGCAGCCCATTTGAATGCTTACAAGTCACAGTCATTTTGGATATGCAAAGTGACAGCATTCTCATTCAGATTCCAGGAACCTAAGAATAGGCTCTGTTTGCCAAGGATGACAGGGCATATGGGAGGCTGACAATGGGAAAGGAGACAGGTGATGAGTGTATGAGTGATGCCAACTAGCAAATAGAGGAGCACAGCACAGTACCCTGCTTATGTAGATAACACACAAAGAAAACAAAAATCATGGGTAAGTCACTCCAGTATGAAATCACCATTAAATAGAAACACAAAAATGTCACAATGCCTCAGAGACAACAGAGCATCACAGTGCACACAGAGAAGCAAGATACAGCAGGAGAAACAAGGGACCAGGATACAGACCCAAAGCACATCCCTGAGGAAGACGCAGCATTGGAACTCACTGATAAGGAATTCAAAAGAATTCTATTTAGGTACCTTCAACTAACTGAGAGACAGATCAAGGAAAACACTGACAAAATTGAGAAGAAAACCCTAGAACAATTTCAAAAGACAATATAAAAAAAAAATGACAAAATTAAGGAAAAATTAGAAATGATACAAAATCTACAGATAGAAAAGTAGAAGATTAATACTAAATTTTCAGAAATAGATTAACACATTGAATGGGCAAAAGAGTAGAACTGAATCAATGGAAGACAGAGTTAGTGAGATTGAAGACAAATACTTCAATACTTCTTTGGAAAGGGAGCAATCAGAAAAAGGATCAAAACAAAATGAAGATAGGAAAGAAGGACACAGGGAAGAAATAACTACAGGGAGAAAGTGGGAAGAGGGCTGTTACACTCTGGGGATTGCAGTCAATGTTACGAAACACAGTATGTATCAAGTGCTGTATTGAAAATGAATTTGCTCTGTAAACTTTCACCAAAATCACAATGAATTTAAAAAAAAAAAATGAAGAAAGCTTAAAGTTCATTTGGGATACCATCAAAAGGAATAACCTACGTGAACTTACGTGTAATCAGAATTCCAGAACAGGAAGAGAAAAATAAAACCACAGAAAAAATTGTTGAAGGTTTCTTGGAAGAGAATTTTCCTGGTACGATGAAAGATGAGAATATAATCATTCAGGAAGTGCAACGAACCCTTAACAGGATAGACCCCAAAAGAAAATCACCAAGACATATCATCATCAAACTCACCAAAATCAAAGACAAAGAAGGAGTTCTGAAAGCAGCACAGGAAAAACAAAAAGTTACCTACAAGGGGCAACCAATAAGACCTAAGCTCGTATTTCTCGGCAGAAATCATGCAGGAGATAAGACAATGGGATGGTATATATAAAACCCTGAAAGAAAAACATTTCCAGCCAAGTATTATGTACCCAGCAAAACTGTCCCTCAAATATGATGATGAAATTAGGACATTTCCAGATAAGCAGATATTAAGGGAATTTGTTAAAACCAGAGCAACCTTACAAGACATGATAAAGGGAGTCCTTTGGACAGAGAAGCAACAACAACCAACAACTGACCATTAACACACATGATGACATAACCCAGAAACCAACCCAGCTATGGAAGTATCCCAAGTAAATAAGCCTACAAGATTGTAAACAGGGAACCAAAGACATCAATTGACAAATGAGGACTACTACAAACCAAAAAGAGGGAAAAAACAGTATAGTTACAGAACCTCTAAATGGTAGGAAAGTCAAGGTAACTGTAAGATAGAACAGACCCTTCTAAACTTGGGAAGAAAATTATAAACCACAGGGTAACCTCAAAGAAAAGCAATAAATTTTCACATCAAAATAAAAAAGAGAACCAGCACAAATATTTAGCAAATACTAAAACAACAGCAATGAAGGAAGTGGCAATATGATTCATAAACAAAACGAGCTCAGCACAGA